ATTGTATGATATCCAAAGCATATGGATACAAAAGATTGCCGAAGAAATCCGTCGATTCTTTCGGCAGTTGCGTGGGCATATTGTCAATCGAGCAGACCAGCACGCCGGGGCCCTTGAAGGATTTCGTGTCCTTGTTCCGGTCGGCATCGTATAGACAAAATGGCGTATCGATCGTCGTGCACTCGTTCATGAACCTTGCGTGAAAAATTAACAGTTGTATAACAATAATCATCTTACTGCCATTATAAAGCAAGATAAATTGAAGAGCACAATCCATGCCATAATTACTTAATATAATTTGAAAAATTTTACGTTTACAAGAAAATACAGTGCAATATATGCCAACAGGTCGTGCTTTGACATTATTATAAGTTGTTATTACATAATTATATATAAATTATTATATATCATATTATACATTATATTATAAATCTATAATTAAAGTGTAAATTAATAATGATAAACAAATTATTGTATGATCATAATTATAATTATAACTGATAATATTGATGCAGAATTTTACTGTCTTCGGAGAAGACTTCTTCTGTTATACGCTTTTCCGAATCCCTAACACGTACTCGATGCTGCCGCCCGGATCAGCGGATATGTCGCAGATACCGAGCATCCGGTGCGGCAGGGCGGGAGCTCCGACGCTTATCGGCAGCCACGGAGTGTTAGCGGGCCTGAGGAGGTATTTCGCGTCCGGTATCGTCAACAACTTTGGCGAGTCCACCGCCCAGTATATGCCGTTGATAATGACCGAGGCATACGGCGCTATCTTTTTGCTGAAGGTAGAAATGTACAGCTCCGGATGCTGGTCGTACTCCTCGGGATCAAAACCGCCGCCCTCCTTCCTCTTTAGGTGATGCCTACGCCGCACCTCGCAACCGTATATCTTCGTCGTATCTGGAACGATTTGAAGAAGATATAAATACCGTATACTGATAAGAGATTATACCGCTGTGATAAATATTTTTGTTTACTCTAAACGACGATGGATTCCACGACTCTTGTGCAAAGAGTTTTATCATGGAAAAAAAAGAGAAAGATATATAATAAGATGATGCAATAAGAGTGACGAAGAGATAAGATATCTTTCTATCGTGAAGCTATTAAGATCATATATAATCATACAGCGCGATACAATATGATTATATTTAATGATTATATACATAATAATTATGGTATTGATTATTTTATTTCAAACAATGTAAATTAAACTGCGAATAAAAAATGTAATATTCTGTAATTTAAAGAAAAAGTTACATCAGTTTCAGAAGACCAGTTTACATGACGATTATGATGTTTGCGAGAGGGCTCGACGACTTAAAAGCGATAAAGCGTTTCGCGAGTTGCGAAACGACGTCGCGAGTTGGAACATACCGCCGTGCTCAGCGACTTTCCGCAACATTTCGGGCGGCACATATTCGTGAGGCAACTCTTGGAAGACCTCCTGACCACCCTGGCTAACGTTACCGCTGCCCGTGAAGACGAAGGTCAACGGGCCGATCGACTTCGGCATGGCGCCCAGCGCGATTTCATATCCCGCACCGCGGATCGCTTGGCGTGCCATAGCTGAATCTCTATAATTATGCGCCGGTCCGATGTGCTAATCAAACGATTAATTTATTATTAATTTATTAATTATTAAATATTGAATCGATAGAGACGTTCATGTTGTTTGGAATAACTTTCATCTCAATTAAAATACATGTAATAGTCTGATATTTTTTAGAAGTTACAATAGTATATAACAGATCTCATTGTGATCTCTTACACCCGGATCTTGATAATTGCTTATCACATGCACCTAGTTTATTTTTTCCACTACACTTTTCCACTAAAGGAGAAGTACAAGAATACAACAAACAAAATTTTATCAATTAGATAATACTCTCGATCTTAATGGGTCACTTAAAGAGATAACATTTATTTAAATTTTTATAAAATTTTGCAAAGATAACAGTGGGTAATTCTAAGTTTTTATACACAGTCTACGGTTTAAACTGTAGAGAAAATAAAATTGATTATTATCAATTTAATATAAACAAAAAAAAATTATATCTCAGAATATAACGTATATAATTTTACATTCTTTTTTTAAATCACGTTATAATTGATCCCGAACAACATGACGTCTATCAATTCAATGAAATATTTAATAATTAATAAATTAATAATAAATTAATTGAATGAATCCAATAGAACATTTAATTCAATAATAATTTCTGGATCAATGGTGCATTTATGATCATTTCTAGAATACATAAGCGTACCATGAACGGAGTATGGTGACCCAAGGCTAGCAGCCTCAGGCCCAAACCGTGAAGTATGTTCACCATTCCGGCAACCCCGGCGTACTTGCCGAAAGCCACCACTCTTTGGCCATCCGCGTCCGTGAGTTTCTCGTAGTCCAGGAGACGTATGTTCTTCTCCAAAATCGCGTCCAGGAGGGGCATATTACTCTCCTGGGCCTTGATGGTGTGCGAGAACAAGCAGTACGTCTTATTGGGTATCAATTGGTCCACCGGCACCTGCTTGACACCGAAGATGACGGAGGCTGAGCTGATGTCCTCCTGCAGCAGGGCGCCTGCCGCCTGGTAGGCTTGGGCGGGATACGCCCTTCGGTTGCTGGGCTGCACGATCACCTTCACGCCCGATCTGACGAGGCGGCGAACGTTCGCCGGGGCTAACGGTGCCCTCCTCTCCCATACTGATTGATCCTCTCGTCTTATAGCTATTACTTTGCCCTTAAGATTCTAAAAAGATTCGATGCGAGGAAACGCACAGCTTAATTAGTATGCTTTACGCATCTGCGATGGTTTGTTTAAAATAAACCTGCTTCTTTTGTTATTGATTTTTCAAAAGAAATTACCCAGAGGAATTCGGACCACCGGACGTTTCACACGAGAAGCAATGGAAGAAAAGAGTAGAGGAATTTTTTTAATTCAAAGCCCGACTTTGGAAATTAAGGAAAATTCAATTTTTTTTAATCGAATGAATAATTTTTATCGATTTTTTTCTCTCGTGTCCACTCGGTTTTTCGCCGAAGAATGTCTGGTGATGTCTGGCGTCGGCGCGATTGATTATACGGATCGTCATCGAAATTATGCCACGTAGAACGCGTTATTTCGAACGTATCTGGATGCTTACACTTATACATCTGGCGTTATGAGTGACAACACGAGTCGCAGCGGTCAGCAGACGACGTGATTCACGTCCAGCCTTGATCAACCCTAACACCCGCATCACACCTTGGTCGATGCTGATTTAGCGGCAGTGTAAAGGTCGCCGGGAGGAGGTCCGAGAGGAATTCACCAGTTGAAACCGATTCGCGGCGATCGCGTCGACTGGAATAACGCGAATCTCTCGCTTGTGTTCGAACTGTTTTTGAATGTTTTGAACAGAGTCGACAATGTATTACTGTATGTATTACGTTATACTACACGTATGTGCTCGTACGGCTTGGGTCAGTGAAAATGTCAGAAAGTATTACAAAATCGTCGATAAACTCGGAGTCACGCTCTTATCGGCATCGTACGACCCTCTGACCATCGTATACTGGCAGTACCATTGAAAGGAGCGTACGGTGCAACCCCGGAAAAATTTGTTTTTCTTTTCACGCGCGTTTATCGCTACCGGCCTGATAATGACGACACGCGCGCACCAAGAACAAATGTCTAATCGTAAACAATAGACTTGTCAAGCGTATGACGCTAGTGTTTTCAATAGTATGCCTTAATCACCGTATTTGAAGAGATCATGGAATTGAATTAGAAAGATTCTGGTGCAGTTTCGTAGGATTTTAATGTACAGGTATCTCTCCATGGAGTTATTACAGAGAACGGCATTGTGCAACTGAGCAAACACTGTACATGTGTTCTCATAACAATCTCATAACAATCGTAAATTCAATGCCTCGTATGCGTACTGAAATCAGTTGGATTGCGTTTTGATTGATAGATACATTTTGTTCTTGATGGTCTGCTTGGTAGGATTGATCTTTTTCAGTATTTGAGTCATAATGTTGACAAGTTGCTCGGATGTGAGACCGGTCTTCTTGGATTTGAATTTCTGCAGCAACTCGGTCGTTGTCATCGGCTTACGTACTAAATACCGCCTCACTGCTTCCTCCGTAATTCCCGATTCGCTGAAAGATATAAAATATAATTATTATAATCGTAATAAATATTATAATTATTATTGCACGTTTATATCATGTCTGTGCAGATACAAAGACAGAAACATACTTTGCTCCCGGTATATACGACGTTACTGGAACTAGATTGAAGTTATCGAGTTTTAATTTTTTCGCTTGCGACAAGTCTGGAGATCCAGATTGCTTTCTCTTAAGAGAATCCGAGACACCGGACGCTGCAGGTGTTGGCGTGGAACATCTCGAGCTATGTGCACTGTTAGGTTTCTTGTTATCTTTCTCTTTTAGCGCTGTATCCGAATCTGATTCTGAGTCGCTGGAGAAATCGCTAGAGGAATCCTTTCCTGACGCTGACTTCTTCTGATCCTTTTTCTTGGCTTTCTTCTTCTTCTTTTTGTCTTTCCTCTTGTCCATTTCTTTACCAAGCTTGTCTTTGTCCTGTAACAAAGTACATTAGAAATGTAGGACAAAGTAGTTAGCAAACACACAACAATGATAATAATGATAAATGCGATGGAATAATTTATCGTTTAAAGAATAACGTACGTGTATTGTATGTGTGTTTATCAATAAATGTCATGACAATATGTTACATTACTTTATCATCCTTTTCCTTTCCTTCATCGTCTTCATCCTTATCTTCTTCACCGTCCTTCTTATCTGTTTGTTCCTCATCGTCTTCGTCTTCGTCAGACGCGAGCAATTTTCTTAACGCATCCTCTTCTGCAACAGACTTCTGCTGGTCATCTGATTCAGAATCAGAGGAATCGGAAATATAATCACATTCCCTTCCTTCTTCATCGCCGTCGTCGCTCTCCTCGAACGCTTCATCGTCTGAGACATTTTTCTTCTTCTTTTTCTTTTGCAGTTGAGCTGTGAAATTTAATTAAACCATATATTGTATCTGTCTATAATACACGATTAATACATACTTTCATTATGCGAAAATAAATATGTATATAATTACAGATAATCTTGTTTATTACCTTTATCTTTCTTTTTCTTTTTTCCATCATCCTCATCCTCAGAGGCTTTCTTATTCTCATCTTCATCGCTGTCTGACTCATCATCGTCGCTGTCCATCCATTCGTCCATCTCGGATATTTTCAATTCCTTCTCTTTCTTACCCGGTCTCTTGCCTTTACCACCTTCCACCAATTCCTCCTCGTCTCCACCGTCCTCGTCATTCCTCAATCTCTTGCGTAACATCAGCGAAAAATAATTCATTACCTTATTTCTACGACTGAATTCCTGCTCTGCTTCCTCAGCACTGAGAGCCTTGTACCTCTGGATCGGCTGAAAGTTATACCTATACGTGAAAGTTTGACTTTTGAGTATTTATCGATGAACAATCAACAATACAAAATCCCTACCATTCGTGCAAAGGAAAGGCCTCTATGGCACCATCGGCAGCATGCGTGAAGACGTAATATGCAGCATTTTCACTGACTCCTCCCTCGCGAATGCCTTTGAACTTCTTTCCAGTTTTTCCACCAGATTTCAAAATCCATGGCTGATCCTCCGGTTTATACTTCCTACTGGTAATGCCATACTTCTTTCTCCTGGCTTCCTCTCTGGCATCACGTCCAAATTCGGACCCAGCACCGAACTTTGGCATTTCTTCTTCTATACCCTTGTATTCTTTCATATTGTTCTCTCGTTCCATTTTCACCTGGGTCCACTTTGAAAAGTCTACATTCAATGTTGCATTGAATCTCATGACATTGTGTTTCTTCTTGCTATTTCTAAAAGAATCCGTAAATTGACTTTTGTGTTATGGCTAGTCTACAATGAGTCGTTAGTCGTTAGTCAGATGTCAGAAGAGAGTCGGAAAAAGTCATAAACGTGTCATAAGGCGATCGGAAGTCTGTAATCGGCAATCACACACATAAGCGATTGGCCAAATGCAGCCAAATGCCATCTCTTAAGGCCATTGCACGTAACAAAGTTTTAGTCATAATCGTAAGGCCGTAAGAAAATAGACCAATCACATTCGATTATTCTTCGAGCTCAAGGAGAATAATCGACTGTGATTGGTCTATTTTCTTACGGCCTTACGATTATAACTAAAACTTTGTTACGTGCAATGGCCTTTACGATCACCGATTACAGGCCTCCGATTGCCTTACGATACGCTTATAACTATTTCTTCCGACATCTGACTAACGACTAACGACTCATTGTAGACTGGCCATTACAATGATGTAAAATGTAAATGAAGAAGAAACACAGTATTAAATAACAAATACTAACTTTGGTACTCGAATACTAAATTCCTGCACGGATGGTGCAACTGAAGGCTGAAAAAAAATATATATATATAATATATATATATATAATCGCCGTAAAAATAACAATTCTTTTTCTAAGATAATAAGGTAAATTGTCCTTCCGGATTACACAGTTACAGTAACATAACCTACTCCATTGTTGCAGCTATAACCATTCTCACCCGAGAACACTCGAAAATTCTCCCTGCAGCTATAACCTATTGAACTTACCTTTGAAACTGTACTTGAATTCATATCGTAACTTGATAAAAACTTTGGCGTGATTTAACACTGCATTTAATGATTTAAAGGAATGTGTCTTTGAGCTACAACATACATAATTCAATCCAACAGTAATCCAACAACGGTTAACAACAATCAACGTGGAACGTGAATCAACGACTACGTTCCGAGACTTCCGACTTCCGAGTTCCGATATTCACTGCCACCTTGATGGAAATATTTTACTGAAAATATAATAAAATTTTACTGAAATTCTCTCAACTGATCCCATTTTTTTATTGTTATTCCATCAATATTTCAGTAAAAATTCAGTTTTTCAATTAAATTCAGTAAATTTCATGATATATAATATAAAAGAAATTTTGTTACTACCAGAGCTCTCTGTTAATAGTATAATTTAACTTTCCTTATATTTCACACTTATTACATTACATTTAATAAGAAAAATTGTTATTTATTTTGAAATATATATTCATTCAGTAAATTTCAATTATAATTTATTTCACTTTTCATCGATTTCATAATGGCCGGTTCTACAATTGGTTGTATCGTAGCGTCGTAAGTCGTCGTAAGAAATTGACCAATTATAATCGAATTTAAAGAAAATAATCGACTGTGATTGGGTAATTTCTTAAGCCTTGTGTCCACGATGCAAGAACTGTGTCCGAGTTTCGGCCAATGAAACTGCTACTTTTCTGTAACGAAAAAGTGTGTGTCCGGGCCCTTATGCTCGTATCACACTAGCGATTGGCGATTGCGTCTACGTTTGCGTTTACATCTGATTGTAGGCCCATCGGATATATACTGTGGCTCGGATCTTCGCGGGCGACGCGGGTTGAGGGAGGTCGATCGGAGGCGACCGGCCATCGACGACGATTGACGACAGCATCGGGGATAAACGAAAAACCCGGAACCAGGAGCCAAATGTGTGCCGCCGTCGCTTCCTACCACTACTGCCTCATCGGCAATGAATAAAATGGTCGCCCGTGGCCGGTAGTGCGTCGCGCCCCGAGATTCAGCGAGAGAAAAAATAATAAGTAAACGGAAACCTCGGATCTCCTGACAGGCACGACGACCGCACCAAGCATGGCGCACCAATTGCTCTTCTCGGCCAACAGGCTGGAGAGGCTAGTCCTGCAATCCGCTCAGAAAGGTTATTTCGACACGTTTCAGGTACCATAACCTCTCCTCCGCCTCCTGCGTACTCGTGATATAACGCGTCGCGCCGGGACGATCGACGTTCTCGCATGGAAAATAACACGGCGAGCGTCATCGTGACGATCAATAACCGTGCGCGGTTACGCGATAGTCATTAACCGAGTGCTGTCCGGGTGTCACGAGTCACAAGACGTTCCGTTGTGCAATCTCTCGCAACTGGTACTTTGGACATCTCGTCGCAGTTATAGTTCGTTTTTTAAATGTATATCATATTTTTTGAAAAAGGACCCACTTCGTGTACCTGTCTTTTATACATTTGCGAGAGTTGACAAACATGTTATAATACAAACATGTGATTGCATCAACTTTGGTGATGATTACTTGCAACTTTTGCGAAGAAACCATGTGATTGAAATATAAAGGATAAAGCGACATAATTCTTGTCATTTTTTGCATTGCTTCTGTCATTAGAACAATAAGATTAAGCTAAGACGTATCCTTCCAGCTGAGACGTCACTTATTGCTACTGAAAAATAGTACGACACTATCTGCAAGTATTGAGCAAGTACAGCAGAAGTGGAGATTATTTTGTAAAGAGCCACCTAAAGGATTCGAAAAGTTCTTCAAACCAGGTTTATCTTTTTACAATTTTCATCTGTTCTCCTGTTATTCTTATATCAAATTGTATAGAACTTCTGAAGAACTTGCGTTACAGGTGACGGTAAAAATGGTAAAAATGGTAAAAGTGCCGCCGAAAAGACGGGAGAAACAAGTAAAAAGGCTGGTACGAAAGAATCCCCTCCATCTTCAACTTCATCTACCTCCACGTCGTCGTCTGGTCCCAAGGTGAATTTCCAGTGGCCATTCAAAACCTTTGGAAACAGCTCCCGAGGTGGTAAACCATTTGAAGGTGGTGATAAGGAAAAAATGTATATGATTTTGGCTGCTCTTGGAGTAAGTGGTCTGATTGGATTGCTACTTGCTCAGGACATGAATCTGAAAGAGATTACATGGAGAGAATTTATATATAAGTGAGTAAATTTTATTCCCATTAATTATATGTTAATATTTATAGCATTAATATGAGATAGCAAGGCAGTACACAGATTAGGGGTATTCAAATAAGTTAGAGTTTAACGGTTTGACAGGATATGTCGGGTTAAAGTCGGGTAAAAAGTTAATTTTTACACTTTTAACCCAAAGATTAATGTGATAGGTTAATGAAACACTTATGTATTTTGCATAACCTTAAAGAGTAGCGCGCCCAAAGTTAATTAATTAACTTTTTACTCGACTTTAACCCGACATAACCTGTCAAACCGTTAAACTTTAACTTATTTGAATACCCCTATTGTTTCAAAGTTATAAGTTAAGATGTAATTAGCAAACCAAATAACCTGATAAAAGCGACTAAGAAGTCCTTTATAACCTTGCAAAAGTAATTATTTTTAAAATATTGAGCTTTTTATCGCGTTAATTTGACTGAATTCCTTGTACCGTAACATACATTGTAGAATCAATAATATTTTGACGGTTTAAAATATTAATTTTAAGTAACTTTGACATATTTATTTTATTTATATTTTAAATATATTAATCTTTTATCTTATTTTTTATCTTTTATCTTATCTTATAATCTCTGTATATTATATCTCTACAAATCAGAAATAATTGACGTTTATAATCGTACATAATTATATAAGTTATATCTTTGTTTTTCAGTTACCTAAATAAAGGTCTTGTCGAAAAGTTAGAAGTAATAAATAAGAAATGGGTGCGTGTAAAGCTCTTACCTGGATATACCGTTGATGGTTCTGTAAGTTCTTCTTAATTACAAGATTAGCGATAGAGTTTACTTCTGAATTTTATGCTGGAACTTATGTTATCTTATTAATATTTCTTGTAGGATGCACTATGGTTTAATATTGGAAGTACCGATACTTTTGAAAGGAATTTAGAAAATGCACAACTAGAATTAAACATGGGACCTGAGAATTATATTCCTGTGGTCTACAAAAATGAAATGGAAGGTTCAAATATTCTGTCATATTTACCACAGATCATTATGTGGGGTAAGCAATTAATTTATAATTATTATTTGTTATCATTATTTATAATCATTAATTTTGTAAATTGTTATAATATCAAAGCAGTTCTTTATTATTTTTATGTATGTGTATGTGTATATAATGACTACCATTAAAATATATTTCAGGATTCCTCATCTTCTTAATACGAAGATCTGCGGAAGCAATGTCTGGTAAAGGAGGTAAAAGAGGTGGACTTTTCGGTCAAGTAATGGAATCGACTGCAAAACTAATAAATTCGAAAGATATTGGCGTACGATTCAAGTAATAGATATATTTCGTTAAACACATATATTTAACACATTTGTATATTTAACACATATGCAACTTGATTAGTAAATCTTATATTGTTCGATACTAGAGATGTAGCCGGATGTGAAGAAGCTAAAATTGAAATCATGGAGTTTGTAAATTTCCTAAAGAACCCGCAACAATATATAGATCTTGGAGCCAAGATCCCAAAGGGAGCTATGTTAACAGGTAATTAAATTTATTATGTTATATGTAAAGTTGTAATATTTAATGGATAGTGAAATGCACTTTTTAATACAATTTTATTTCAAAAAATGTCATCGAATTTAAAATGTCTTACATGATACATGTTGGGTTTTCTTTTTTTAGGGCCCCCTGGCACCGGCAAAACTTTGTTAGCTAAAGCTACAGCTGGTGAAGCAAATGTACCTTTTATTACAGTATCAGGTTCGGAATTCTTGGAGATGTTTGTGGGTGTCGGTCCTTCTAGAGTGCGCGATATGTTTTCTATGGCGCGAAAACATGCACCGTGTATATTATTTATCGATGAAATCGATGCTGTTGGTCGAAAGAGAGGAGGTCGAAACTTTGGGGGACATTCTGAGCAAGAAAATACATTAAATCAGCTCTTGGTAGAAATGGATGGTACCGTAGTTTTAAATACGAAAATACCGAAGAGTGTCAGGTCATTTCTAACATTTTTATTTAATTTTCTTTAAGGATTCAATACGACGACTAATGTGGTTGTATTAGCGGCGACTAATAGAATAGATATTTTAGACAAAGCATTATTAAGACCTGGAAGATTCGACAGACAAATATTTGTTCCTGCTCCGGATATCAAAGGACGAGCGTCCATTTTCAAAGTGCATTTAGCTCCTTTGAAAACGAAATTAGATAAGGCTGAATTAGCAAGAAAAATGGCTTCCTTAACTCCTGGATTTACAGGTAATTGAACATTTTTGAAAAAATATAAAAGCAAATATCAGATGAAATCTATCGGAACATCATATACGAAATTTCTTAGGAGCCGATATTGCGAACGTTTGCAATGAAGCAGCTCTGATTGCGGCAAGAGACTTGTATGATAACATTCAACTTAAAAACTTTGAGCAAGCTATTGAGAGAGTAGTTGCTGGCCTAGAGAAGAAGACCAAAGTATTACAACCAGAAGAGAAGAAGACGGTTGCGTACCATGAAGCTGGTCACGCGATAGCTGGTTGGTTCTTAGAGCATGCAGATCCACTTCTAAAGGTTACCATATCTTATCTACGTGATATCTTTTCGTGATAGACGATATAATTTTTTGGTAGTAGTCAAGCTTATATTATCTCCCTTAGGTATCTATTATTCCACGCGGTAAAGGATTAGGATACGCTCAGTACTTGCCACGTGAGCTGTACCTTTACACACAGGAACAATTGTTCGATCGTATGTGCATGATGATCGGTGGACGAGCGTCGGAAGAAATCTTTTTCCGCCGCATAACTACAGGCGCTCAAGATGACTTACAGAAGGTATTGTCACGATTAAACTGTAAAAGCAATAAGATAATGGTGTTGCATATGTGTGATGGCAGTTCTAAGAATCAAACTCAGATCTTTTATTTGACAAGCGACTTCTTTAGCACTGAGCAATTTAGCACCACAATATTTTTGCTGTCTTATATTTCGATATGTATATATATAGATATATA